GTCAACTTAATTAGTACGTAGTAGTAAGGGAAGGGGAAGGGACGGACGACGACTAATAATTAAGTACGTTACGGGTTACGGGTTAACGTTAAGTTAATTAGTAAGTAGTAGTAGACGTACTCTCTCTCTCTCTCTCTCTCTCTCTCTCTCTCTCTCTCTCTCTCTTATTTCAGAAGACACTCATGGGACCAGTTTGCTCTCTCTCTTATTTCAGAAGACACTCATGGGACCAGTTTGGATGTTGGGTTATCCTGAAACAGGTTTTAGAGTTTAACCATGTCCCTGATAAGTAGTTTAATGTACAAGGTTGAGCTAATCACTCTTGAAAAGGGTGCTGCACCAAATTGGACATAATAAGGCATGCACGTATAAGAATGCGTTATTGGCAACTTATATATGAAATCCAGACCCCAATCAGGCCCATGTGTGAACATATGTAACCAAAATACATGTCATTAACATTTAGTTACATGACATCCACCTGCATATATCGCATACAACTGCTATATACTCATGCATGTGATCTTAGTTAACAGAAGGCAGAAAGTGAAGGGGGTAGTACAAACAGTGGCACAATGCTAGATAGAATTCTGTGTGCGCGTGTCTGTGTGAGAGAGAGACAGCAAGAGATGCATCTGTATAGAAGGGATAAATATGCATCTGCACAAAGGGATAAATATTTGATGCTGACAATCAATATTCTAGAAAGTGCAATCTGAAAGTATTCTTACTACTCACTCTCATTGACATGCGCTCCCCTGCAATTCCATCAAATACTCGGACTATAGGATCAAATACGCGAACCAGTTGTTGGACTTTGCTTCTTTCCCTCAGAATTTCCTGCAGGGACAGAGGGAAATGCAGGACACATGACAAACTAACTAATCTGACATTCCAGACCATGGAATGGAGAAAATGCTAATTTGGAAATTCAAATAAGACATTTTGATTTTTCCTATAAAAAAGACCATTGATAACTCCATATAGAATGACTGTAATTGCTAGATTACCAATGTCCAAAAGTTTTGAGCATCCAGCTCAAACATAACTTTCCAAAAACCTTGTTTCAAAGTTCAAATAAGAAACTCAATACAATGAAAATGCATACCTTTGGAACAAGGGTTGCTATAGCTGACATTCCCCAATTCCAGAAGAAAGGAGCAGTTCCAAACCGGGCACTCACGGTGGGAACATTTAATACTTCATAAGCGCTACCAACTTCGGGCAGGTTTCTGGAACAACAAAATTGCATAAAAAAAGTGCACGTTTGAAATGGACGTTTTCATGTTGTTTTTGAGTAATGCATCCGTGCTCAACTGGAAGTATTTAAAGGAGAATTCACTAAAGACATTGAAAATACAGTATAAACAGAAAATATAAATTTTAAGTTGTATAATGATTTCATAGTTCAAACTAATTAAAAAATGCCTATTGGATCAACTACTACAACCCCTACAGGGAAAATTGATAGAAATCAGTTCCAGACATTCGAAACCCCCACAGGAAAAATTGATATAAATCAGTTCCAGACATTCGAATTTATGCAAATCACATCAAGGGACTGGGTTGACCAAAGTTCACATTTTTTAATTTGAAGTAGGGATGCGTCTAGAATTTCAGTATTCAAGTGTTGGGATTATTTTATTTGTTGAGTATGCTTTTGTAATTTGTCATTAAGGGGTTATTTTGGATTTTAGTTTAAAGTCCAGGGTAGAATAGAGTGTTGTAGAGTACCCATGTAGTCAACATGTCAGGGTAGAGTAATGTTGTTTTGAGTTCCAATGAGTCAGCGTCAATGATGTAGAGTTCCTATGTATTGGAATTTGGTTGCCTGAATGGGGACTTGCCATATGGAAATTAGGTTGCATGCAAGTAGATTTAGTTGTATGAAAAAAGGGTATAGAGGTAGTTTAATCATTTCACTATTTTGTTAGGGCATTTTGGTCATTATTGAATACATTCATATGTATTGCACGTCACTGTAATAGTAGTAGTAGTAGTTAATGATTTGATTAATGAAAGTAGTATTTCCTCCTACATTGTATAGTTGAAAGGCCCTACTCGGTGTAGTGGTTTAAATCCAATGAGGTATAGTGACTTCGTATGTTAAGGGACTATAGTCCCTTCCTTGACATTGATCGACGAGTCTTGTTTGCTTAACCAAACTCAGACCTTCCTGGTCGGTGCCTTGTTTCGCACCAACATTTACTACTACTTCTATTACAGTGTATAATATATATCCTAGTACCATGCACCTGCGCTGCAGGTGTTACTAATAGGTCATGCATAAAGCAAAAATAAATATTTAAAAAAACTATGAAATCTAATTGTCAATGCACAAACCATATATAGTACTAGTGTTAAAACTCAAACAATGGTGAACAACATAAAGGAAAAATTAAACAAAGCAATCTACATACGCACTTAATCATGTTTACAAACAATCGACCTCATCAAGTTACATGGCTTGTACAAAGTTGTATAAAAAGCAAAAAATAAAGAAAAACAGGAAAAAAATGTACTGCTTTGGAGCTGAGAGAAAATAATTTAAAGATAGAACAGTAGAGACATTGGCTTTGAGACATGCACGCGCTTAAGCCTTAGAGAAATCTAGATAACAAAAAGGTAGAAGAATTGCACATTTTTAAGTTAGAATAGACCAATTGGTGTCTATAAATTATAGACGCATAGGTGTACATCAAACTAAGGAAAAACTTATCTCGCCCATAGGGGGAGGCCGAGTAACTCGCTGAGGCCGAGTCCGAGTCCCGGCACAATTGGAGGATGAATGGGGGTTACACTTGATAAGGCAAATGAAATTGGTTTAGTGAGTAGAGGGGAGAGGCAGCAAGGTGCATAGAGGTGATTATGGAGGGGGAAAGGCCGGGGTGGAGATCAAGAGGAATGTGGCCAGAAGGAAGGACAGAAAGAGTGGTGTGTATTATGGAAATATGAAGGAATTGGTTGGTCAGCTTTTGAGGACTACATCTTCACAAATTGTCTCTTCATGAGTTCTATTCGTTTGCCAATACATTGATGAGAGCTAGAAAAAGCCTCTCATTGATTATTGTATTGGCATGCTAACTATATTTCCTAATGTGTATCTCCAAATAATAGAATGTTAGGTTTTACGTAGGTGTTAGATTATCTAACCAGATATAAAACTCTCAAATATAGGACAACATGTTTTGGTGCATTTGAAGCCACAAAAATAGGAGAGGAAAAGAGATCTACATGGTACAAGATATAGATGAAAAAATTAACAATGAGATTAAACTATCTTAGGTTTGTTTTTCTTGTTCAATTAGTTTTCAAAATTCAAACCATACAAAATTTAAAAAATTTAAAAATCTAATAGGCTATGTATCAATAGTAGTCTCCAACACTCCACATGTGAAAATAATTCCAATGAGAAAGAATAGTTTAGGAAGCTTCTGCAAACCGCAAAAAATACTTTGGATTCTCAGAAATAGGTATAGCTAAGAGATTGAAGGCTTATGGAAGTGTTCTTTTAATTTTGGAGGTTTGAAAATAACCCTTATAACCTATTTAAACCCTTTTGGGGGTCAAAATTACCCCCTTTGCCCTTTTGGGCATCTATAAATATCGAAAAATACCCATGTCCCAAAGCGCCCACCCAGAACCAGGCACCCACCCAGGTACAGCCACCCAGAATGGGGCGCCCAGGTCTAGGCGTGCAGCCAAAGGTGTCTTGGGTGCCTAAGCACAAGGTGGACCATTTTTAGAACATTGTCTAGAACTAATACTTTGGGCCTGAAAATGGATAAACCCTCCACAATCTCAAGCATGCAAAGCAAACCCATGCTCTCATACTGAGTTTGAGACATCAAGTGGATTTTGGATCAGCTATTTGGTCGTTATAAAGCAATTTATATTTTAGAGAAGCACTCAAGTTCCTCCCAAAGCCATCCTTGACCTTGGCGGATGTTGTATTGCACTCAATGAGAGGTATTAGCTAGGCCTTGAGGTTACAGTTGAAGTAACTACCAAGTTCTTTACCAAGGTAGCGAAGCAAGTAATAGCAAGCGGCCCAAAATCAAAGTTGCTAAGGCAGGTGAAGCATTTGTAAAGTCGACCAATGTTTGTGGCCAGACGCTACCAGTTATGCCACTAGCTAAGTGCACATCACCTCATATCACCTTCAGTGCTAAGAGCCTATTGGGAAGTTGAGTAATATATCGCATTGTGAGGTTGTCACAGCAGTTGATGCCTCTTCAAGGCCAATCTTACAGCTCCCAACTGAGCTGATTATGAACTTCTTTTAAAAACAGAGGCGGCTTTTGTGAGTTTTAACAGTATTGGCCATAGGAGTGGTCTCAAGAAGGCATTTTTCTATTCTTCGTTGGGTGGTAAAGCCTCTGCAATGGGAATTGGCACTTCATCTTTGGAGAGGAAATTCAACTATGCACTCTCAATCAGTAGCATGTTGACCAACATGAATGCTGAATGTCGGGCCATCAAAACATACACAAGGTGTTTGTCCTCATGCCTCGGAGGGACAAATTCCGTGGAGCCCCAGGACTTCACCATCAATTAGAGAAAAAGCGTTCAAAGAAGATTGCCAAAACTCGAGTTTTTTTTTTTCAACCAATAAGTATTATGCAAATTACATCAAGGGACAAGCTGGACCAAAGTCCAAATTTTGTTGAAGTAGGGATGTGTATGAAATTACAGTATTTACTAAGTTGAACATGTGGGGATTGTTTTAATTTGTTGAGTATGCTTTTGTAATTTGTCATTAAGAGGTTATTTTGGGTTTGAGTTTGAATTCAAGGGTAGAATAGGGGCCATGTAATCAATTAGGCAAAGTAGATTAAAGTTGTTTTGAGTTCCCATGAGTCAAACTCTATGATGTAGAGTTCCTATGCTAGAAATTTGGTTGCATGGAATAGGGACTTGCAACATGGGAAATCGATTGCATGCAAGCTGATTTAATTGTTTGGGAATAAAAAATGGCTCAAGTATATTGCACATAACTGTAACAATAGCAGCAGTTGATGATTTGATTAATGAAAATAGCATTTCCTCTGACATTGTGTAGTTGAGAAGGCCCTACTTGATGTAGTGGTTTGGTACTACAAGATACAGTGGCTTTGTAGGTTGAAGGAACTATTTTCCCTTCCTTTTACAGTGATCGACAAGTCTTGTTGCTCAACCAGACTCAAAACTTCCTTGTTGATGCACGGTTCTGCACTAAGAACATAGTGAAATGCATAGAAAGATCAAGTTTTAATTGATAAAAATGCATTACATGTAGAACATATAGATAAATAATTAGAAATATAGGCCAATTAGAAAATCAATTAGACTGACTATAACAAGGGAAAAAGACATATACCCCCATCTCTATAGTTGTAATCCCAATAAACCCTCGGGTCCATGAAATGAACACACAAAACAAATGTGCATATTGAAGCATAAATGAACACTCTAACTTATAAAAGTTGAAGTTTCAATTCATTTTTTTATGGAATGGGAGAGAGACCAGAAGGAGGAATCGACGAATATTAGAATTTATAAGGAATATTAAGCAGCTAGGGGACATGATTGAGAGAGTAGAAAAGAAACTGAGATTCCAAAATGGGAATAAAGTACAAGTTTCCTGGAACAAGGTTTTATCTTTCTAATAAACTAATAAAATATTTGGGGAATGGCTTTCGCAATAACAAATAAAGTTAGTGATACAAATTCCCATGCAAACGTTTACAACGCAATGACTGTAATACACCCAAGACTATAAAATACCATAATGTAAACACCCAGCAAACATATAGATATCTAGACTTACCCTAAAACTGACAATAAGAGAGAAGAGAGCTACAAGTGACAGTTTGTCGATTAGAAATTTATGTATTATTGAGATCATTCCTTCTGTGAGTAGAAGTTTAGTTAAAAAGACACAAGATATTCCACCAGCAACAACGTCATTTTCAATGAACTGGTAATCGGTCTCTATGGTCAGTTTTGTTATGAAACACTAAATTAGATCAATATGGATGCAACTTGGGCATATTATGTTTTCGGCCTTGATACTGCCACCAAATCAAAGATTACGCCATCATCATCATCAGAGCCTTCTCCCAACTAGTTGGGATCAACGATACAAATCATATTTTTTCATTCTGCTCTATGAAGGTCCATGCCCTCAGTCAACCCATATTTCACCACATATCTTTTCAATACTTCCATTCATGTCCTTTTGGGCCTTTCC